AGCCAACTCAAGATCGCAATCGAATACTATGAGTTCGATCATTTGGCTAGGCGTGTAGAGTAAATACAGTGCGTATCATCAGTATAGACGCACCCCCAAAAAGGTCCAAAAACGGTTTTGAACAGACTCCCAAGGCAGTAGATTGATACCCATAATCGAGAAGGTTCGAAAACCATAATTAGCTACACTATTTGTTGATGTTGAAAAATGTAAGGATATTCGGACGCTCGACCGTATCACATAGACACACTTCAGGAACCCGGAATTTTTTATTATGAAAACAGACTATTAGCAGTCTTTCAATAAACAAACTATTAACAACAGTCTTTCAATAACTAATTGGTCCTCCATTTTTAGAAATGATCTCAAAAATGCGGTTTGGCATCGACTCCACCAGTTTGTTCAGCAGCTGTGGATCCAAACGATCCCATGCCTGGCTGATCGCCGTCCGGAGATTTGCGACGTTTGAGAAAGTCCATCTTGACTGTAAATATCCCTGACGAGATTACCCCAGATATTCTCTATTCTTACATCCGGAGAACAAGCGGGCCAGTCCATAGTGACTACATTTTGCTCCTCAACCATGCCATAGTAGACCTGCTCACATGGATGGCCGCATTGTCCTGTTGGAAAGACAAACTCTCTCTACCGTGACTGGCGAGAAATGGCAGCAGGTGTCGCCCAAGCATGTCCTGGTAGTCTACTGAGTTCATTTTCGTGGAAATGAAGGCTAGTTCGAGCTTGCCGCCTTGGTGGAATCCTCCCCAAACCATAACACTGCCTCCGCCGAAGTTACGCTTGCTCAAGTATTTCTGCTACTTGCGAAGATCCCTCCAGTAATAAGCGTACTCTTCTGTCTGTCTGTACTTATGATACAGCCCAAATTGAGGCTTATCAATGAAAAAAATTCCCGATTTCTTCCAGGTAGCGTGAAAAGCGGTTAAACAAGGTTTTGAGACATGCTGAGCCTGAAGACAATTAGTCTTTTTTTCTGAGTTCCTATGGAGTACCTCTATGGTACTTTTAGAGGTGTGTTTATACTTATGATACGCACTGTATGTCTGGTAAAAAGATATCTTGCCCTCAAGTAAGCGATGTGTGGCGTGCTTAGCAGCGAAGGGCGCGCCCAAAGCGGCTTACTAAACTCTAACTGTCGTTCGACTCCGCGACGAGCCCTCGTTCCGCCTCCGAATGACCAAATGTCACCCATCCCTATCTGACTGCGCCCTAGCCCTGAGGAGAGTTGCGGCTGAGTAAGCGAGTTGATTTTGTGTGACCTGCGATGGTATGGGGCAAGGGTCTAAGGATATCTGTCAGTCGCGAAACCTCTCCTACTTTCTTTTTTCTTTCTCCCTCCCTCTTTTCCTTCTTTTCCTCTCTCTTCCCTCTTCCTTATATTCCTCCCGTCGAGTGGTCGGCCAGAAGATGCGATGACAAAATATATCTAGACCCTGGTTGCGGCAGAAGTCCACTTTACATAATAAGCCCTGTAACGTATGGGCAACAGAAATTTACACCTTTATGACCACTCGCCTTGCTTTTTCCTTTCTTTTTCTACCCATTTAGCCCGTATTCATTTCCGCAACTACGACGACCTAGCACATGAAAACTGAAAAGTTTGTTTCCCGATTCCAGGGGACTTACGTTTTTCCCCAAAGATTTATCATGTTCTTTTAAGAAGGTCTGAAAGAACGAGGACTGAAGAAGCCTCCCGATGTTCTTGGTCTTTCGTCTCAGCACCCAAATCCAGTTCCCCGCTACCACGAGGACTAACCAATTAATGGAGCGCGAAGGTCGTTCTCGTTGTTGTGCTGTTGATGTCGAGTCCCTCGACTTGCTCCGCCCCTATCATGGAGCAAGTAAACATCTTTACGAGTACATCTATGCGTGCGTGACGGATTAACATTCTTACGAAGCCGATCTTTGAACCCCCAAGTTGGCCACGGCCGTTGGGCGGAGTGTCTCACGTGGTTGTGCCACTGGGGCAACAACATGTCAACAAGCCGAGCAGCTGCTGCCGGACGAAACGAGGCGAATCAGAAAAAACGCAAAAAAAACCAAATGGCCTTTGACAGCGTAACGATGGCCACAAGACTGGACCACTGGTGGAGGGAAGTGCATTTCGAGGATAGGGTACAGCATCGCAGTGCATTAGGGGGTCTTACTTGGAAGCTGGGGGAGGTGGGTCCTACCTCGAGAGGAGTTTTCTGGAGCAATTCAGCTCGGTGGGTAGGAGGGGGCACCAAATGGTACTCAGCGAAGGTTGGGCTGTCTCTGGAGTCTTTAGACCACATCGTCACCCTCAGGACTCTAAATATAGCTCAGGATTTACGTGTTGCGCTCTGAACCATTGAGCGCCTTTTCTCCTGAAGCACTTTCGAAGGACCTTAAAGTATGAACCTTAAAGTTCCGCTAAAGTCTCAAGCAGTTGTTCAGAAAAATCAGTCAGAAAAAAAGAAAAAATGTACTAAAGGAGCTCCATGAAATCCATGTATCAGATAGAACCGTTATCACTGAGTTCAGTGGGGGCATGTCAGCGCGACATGGGTTTTGGCCCAGAGACAGCCCATTTTGCATCAACCGTTTCGGCTTTAGGCGTTAGATGAGTGGTGGAAAACCCTGCGCTCAAACCCACGTGCTTCCAAGAGGCTCCTACTAACTTATTATTTCACCAGTCCGGCTCGCCTGACCCTCTGCTGACCTTAGTCCACTTTTTCCGGTCTTCGGAGTGCTCTGGAACCGTTTTACAGACCTTTTTGTCTGGCTCCGCCCACCTCGGAGCAGGCTCCGCCCACCTCGGAGCAGGCTCCGCCCACCTCGGAGCGACTCCGCCCATTACTATTAGAAGTTTGCATTTTACTTCGCTATTCGGCTGTATCGATTGGACGCTATCGATCTAAGGACTGACTATAGGCTAGGCTACAGTCAGTCCTTAGATCGATAGCTATATGATAGGCTTGAAAAAAGTGACAGAAACCTCCGCAATCTAATTAATAGAAACTTCATACGCCACGGATCTTATGCAAACACCCCATAAATTTTTTCATTTAATTCACACACAGTTTCGCTGTTCTTTGTGCCTTTTGTATGTATGGTATTATGTTCTTTCGTAGGGCCTTGGAATTATACTACAAGCATTTTTCAGTCAAATGATATTGGTAAGAGTAATGATACATATTTACTTTGTACTGAAGAGGCGTACCTTTCCCTATGCAAAACAAGCCAATCTGCTTCGGGCTTCATATCGCGACATCTCAGTTGTAAATAGTATTAGGCAGATTACATTCAATGCCGAATTTCAAGTCTTCCAAGATTGAAGCGTTTTGCATGAGATCCAATGCATTGAACACATCAAAGCCTAGCTGAAATAGGTAATCACTGATTAAATATCAATCGACTTAGGCAAGCACCCTATTTTTGAGGTACAAGACGCATTTATTCGCATGGTCGCAGAAACGCACCCGATAATGCGCCCGCAAACTTTGTAAACATAGCAACAGCTTTTCTATCTTTTTCCCCAGGTTTTAATTTGTAGTTACCAATCTTCCATTCGCTTTCCAAACATTCTCATTCATCGTGGATCATTTACGTAGATGAGATCGGAGAAAAAAATATGCAAAGGGAAAGCCAGAAGGAGATATTCACCCTTTTTTATGGCCTCAAGCGTTTAACCACCAGTCGCGTGGTTAGTTGGGCTCAAGATGATAATAGAAACAACCAAATCAAGCTGAGACAGAAAACTCACTTTATGAGCGATAATCAAAGCGTCATTCATGAGCTGCTTGAATGAAACTGTAGTGGCGACGTTATAGAACGAATACACTGCTCGAATAACTCTATGTACCGGATGTTGCATAACTGATGATGGAAGCGAATAAAATGATAGCATATCCGTCACTTTTCCTCCTGTCTAAAACGAGGTCCTTATCAATGGAGTATAAACGACATTCCAGAGTTCCAGCAGAAATTGTGGAATATGGGACCATTATTTTAATGGCGCCTTCTTGGTTTGCAGTGAATTAACTGACAACGAAAAAGGAGGTCGATTAATTACAATTGGGAAGTGGAGATAAA